CCCCCCCCGCCTCTCCTCATCGGCCAGCAACGGGACGGTGCCGGCGGCCTGCCCCGGGGCGCTCGTCCGCCCTCGGCAGCTCATGCACTCAGGCCAGGACCTCTCTCTCCAGGAGCTCTGCTGTAACCAGGCCACGAAAGGATGCGGGGTCCCGCCGGCAATCAGGGTGGGAAGGATAGTGTAGACGCGTCCCCGCGTATTAAGACAAGTGTCGTCGTCACCCCTCCTCGGTACCGCCCCGGTTCTTACCGCTGTAGGAGGTGGCAGAAGCCGAGCGCCATTCTGCCTTCTCCGCTTTGTGCTTCTTGTGCTTCTTCCCCATTGCACAGGTCTCCTCTCAGCCCCGCCGGAAGCGCTCGGAGCAGAAGGACTGCTTCCGCCTGCCGAGGAGGAAGATCCCGGTCAAAAGAGGAGGGCTGGGCCTCCACTGGCTAGCCCGCCTTTTTCAAAAAGGCTGCAGCGGGATCCCGGTGCGTCCAGTTCTCCTCTCTCCTGAGTGGGTTTTCTTTGTTCTCCACCACCGCTTTTGTGCCGCGGAGGCGTGTGGTCCTTGCAGCAGTCAAGGGTGCGGAGGGGTCAGAGGAGCTCCCCGGGCTGGCCTGCGTCCGCCCTGAGGTGATTTCTTGATCCCCCACCGCGGAGACTCGCAGGGAAATGAACGGGCGCGCTCGCGACGTGTCCCATGGTTGGCGTCGCCGCCGTCTCCCGAGTGGAGTGGCTGGAAGGCGGGGGGTAACGCGGACGGGACGCGGGGCTGGCGGTGCTGTTGCAGAGTAACGGTCGCTAACGGCCTTCTTCTCTGTGATACCGCTTCTCTAACTCCCTCGCCGCCACCTCCTCCCCCCCCCAGGAACGAGGAGGATGGACGAGGCCGCGGGAGATTTGAAGCAGGCGCTGCCAAACGTGTGCGACAGCGTCCAGATACACGTGGAAGTTCACCAGAAGTCAAACAGGTCTCTCTAGTAGACGGAAAGAGTCACTTTTCCTAATGTTTGCTCACTTCCTAGCACAGCCCAAAATAAGGTTGGCCTTATTTGTAGCAGGGTCACACTGCTGACTCGTTGCCAGCTTGTCCATCAGTGGTACCCTGGGGTCCTTTTCTGCAAAGCTGCTTTTCATCCAGTTGGCCTTTGGTCTGTGCTGTTGTCCGAGCAGTAGATGGAGAGAAAGGATTTCACTTCTACTTTTGTTGAACTTAAAGAGGTTCTTGCCAAACCATATCTAACCTGCAGAGGTCCCTCTCAAGGACCCTGCTCTGTACTATATCCACACCTCTCCCCGGTTTGGTGTTATCCATAAACTTGCTGCAGTTGCTTTCCATCCCATTGCCCAGGGTGTAAATGAAGATGTAAAAACAGCATTGGTTCCTATATTGAGAGAACCACCCCATGTCTCCCTGCTGGACTTGCTGGCAGCCCTGCTTATTCTTTGTACTACTAATCACAAGCCTTTGAACTGGACAGTCCAGTCATCTTGTCCATTTATCCAGTCCTTACCAATTTGGCTATCTAGATACTATGGGAGAGTGTCCCCAGGGTGTTGCTAAAGGCTAGGTGCTCTTTTTTTGTCAGACTTAAAAGACAAAGAACTGTGAATTCATGCTGGAATGCATCACTGAAATTGCAAAATTAAGTTAAAGCCTTTCTGAAATCTTTAAATGGTATTCCTTTTCCTGTAGTTTTGGTCTCTTCTACTGGAATTCCCCTTACAGCACATCCCCATCCTGAGGTATCATCTGTCCTCAGGCGTGAAAGCATAAGAGAGCTTCCAAGCTAGGTGTGCCAGAGTCAGTCTAGCAGCTTGGCTATGAGTTTTTCTTTTTTCCCTAGTGAAACACAGTCAGATTGCATAACTAATTTCCATTCTTAAAATCTTCTAGCTGTGTCATTCCGTGTCCCCTGATATAACTGCAAACAGAGCAAATAGTGTTCTTTGGCTTGTGTCATTTAATGCACAAATTAATAAAAAGTATCAAACCTGTTGCTTTTGCAAACAAACTGAATATGATAGTTTTTTTTTTCTGCAGAATGTTGGGTAGGTGAGTGGATTTTGGGTTTTTTGTGTGGGTTGGTTTTTGGAAGGTGGTTTGGTTTGGGGGGGTCTTTTTGTGGGGATTTTTCTTTTGTGAGATGGAAGCTGTTTTACATGTAGGCTTAGAGTATGAAATAAAGCACTCTGATGTTAGTTCGTGCTACCTTATAAATGTCAGTGCCATAAATAATTCTGTTTCTTTCTTGTTAGTGCGGCCAAGAAAGAAGATATCAGGACAGGTGTCTTAAAGCTGTTGAACAGACATAACATCGTGTTTGGTGACTACAAGTGGACAGAATTTGATGATAGTTTCCTTAACAGCAATGTGCAGTCTGTGTCAATTGTGGATACAGAGCTGAAACTGAAAGACAGACAGGTATTCACAGTCAAGACTGTACAGCTCTGTTCAAGTGCATATGATCTAGCTGTAGGTAGACTAGAGATAACCTGAGGGCATAAGCAAAACAAGGTCTATAGGACTATGTAGTATCCTTTATTAGGCCAAGTGGTATAACCAGAAAAACTTAGATAAGTTTTTAGGCCTACACCTGTTAGTAAGGTCTGAAACAGAAGTAGTAGGCTTTAAGCTGAATGCTAGCTGAGAACTGTATATTTCTTATGTAATAATTAGCTTTGAATGGGAAATAACGATGTATTAAAAGTCTTTTTATGTCCATTCTAGCCTATTGACTTGAGCAAAAGCAGTCTTTCTCTTCATATTTTTCATCTGAATGAAGAAGGACCAAGCTCTGAGAACCTGGAAGAAGAGAATGAGGATATAATTGCTGCTAACCACTGGCTGCTACCAGCAGGTACCCATGTGATATTTCTGGAAGGTCTAGAGTAATTACAAAGAAAGAAAATCTTGAGAAGGCTAAAAGTGTTTATAGGGTTACCTATTAAAGGTATTATTTGTAGATATTGTTTAACTTTGTCCTTTGTCAATGGAACCAATATGTTTGGACTTTCTTTATGGTTTTGACTTAACTACTATGGGTGATTCCACAACACTTCATTCATTACTTTAATACTTGTGGATGGGTGGAAGTAACTGGTCTTGTGAATAAAGTGTATAGTCATAATCAGAAGCATGCAACTTTTTAACCCTACAAGCTGCATTCCACATTTTTATTGGAATAGTGTGGAATAGCAGACACTCCACAGAGTGTCTTCTGAAAACAACAAGGCTTTGCAACAGAGCATGGCCTGCCGCTTACTACTTTGTGCTTATGGAAGCTGGATTCTGCACCTGGAAGGAGAAGTACAGGTGTGAGCTTAAGCTCAAAGAGACAGTGATTCTGAGACATTTCTTGCCTTTCCATGTTATGAAAAGTCTAACTATCAATTACATTTCTCTTTGTGAAGAATTCAATCTGATACTTTGACGTTATTGCCATATAGTTGTGGTTTATAATTGTTCAGTCTTCTTTGGCTTTTCTTTGCTGAAAGCTAGAAGTTAACTGCTAGAAATGATTGATACCCAAATCACAACTTAAACTTTTTATGCATTATTCAGCTACATGCTTTTTTATGTCCTCTACATATTGATGTTAAAAAATGAAAAGAAAGCTGAATGATAAAATTTGGCTTAGAACCTTCCTTCCACCCCAACTTTTTGTAGCTTTTTATCTTGGGAAAATGGAGATCCGTCCCCTGTTGAGGGTGGAAAGAATGATATTTTTCCTTTTGTGTTAAGAAATTAAGAAAATTAATTTCTCTTCATGGTTATTTGAGGAAACAGAAGTTGTGAAACTCCTGAATTTGTCTTTTAGAAAGTGGTGTTTGCATTTTGAGAAAAATAACTCATATGTTTTCCATATATTTTAATTACTCTTGTATATCTATTCTTATTCCTTAATTTTAGTTGAGAGTAATGCTTTGTGCTGCAGTGATAGATTACAAGTTCTCAGACTGATTTATCCTAAACAGGTATATAATATATTGCTTTTGCAGCTGAATTCCATGGCCTTTGGGAAAGTCTTATATATGACGTTGAAGTAAAATCACACGTAAGTTAAAAATGAATAATAATTAAAATGGCTTGAGAAGTAAGATTTGAAATGTAGCCTGTTTGCTGCATCCCATGGAGAAGTTATTTGGAAATCACCAGTTCAAGAAAGAATTCTAATGTCTGCTTATTACACTTCTGTATTTTGAAAGGTTGTATTGTCTTAGCTATTTTGCAAAGCTTTATATTCTTGTTAAAATAGCTATATAATTTTTGATAGTTACTTCTCTAGTGTACGCGTACCAGAAGAAAGCGGAGCTGATGTTTTGAGATTAAACATTTTATCTCAGACATATATCAATATGTACTACTGTGAAGTCAGCTTTGCAAAAAATCTGTTTTCCTGTGCAACTGCGTTCAGTGATGCTCATGCCGCAAATTATGAAGAATTTCTTCATATTCATTGGCTTATTTTACAGAAATCAGACATTTAACAGCTAGAGGTATTGTCTGGGTAGCAACTTAAAACTTCTCAGAAGATTTTCGCTTTTGCTTTAGATGTATTCCATAGCCTGCATGAAGAAAACAATGAATGTTTTGTATAACAGAGTAGAAATTCATTTTATTAAAATACTGGACCTTGTTTTAAGGCTCATTAATTGCCTATTTTTTCTAAAAGGGAAGAAGAAATTTGTTGGGGAAAAAATAACTTCAGAGGCTTAGAAAAAATGTACACAGCATTCTTTGAAATCAGTTCTCTATTTCTCCATTGTGAATATCCCAGAAGTGTGTCTTTGGTGTGTTGTTTGGTTTTTTTTGGTTGTTTTTTTTGTTGCTTTTTAATGATGAGGCAATTTTGGTGGCTGCCTATCACTGAAAGAGAAGTGCATTGCTGTCAGCTGTACTTGCAGTGCTTCCTTTCTACTTGCACTGTTGTTACCTTGCAGTGAACTAACCGAGGAAACTAAATCACTACTTCCTAGTTCTAGATAATTCTAAAATGAAGTAGTATTACCGTTAGAAGCAAGCATACAGGGAAGTACGTGCAACTTCGCTTATGTGGAAGGATAAACTATCTACAGATTCCTTACAGTAGCTAATACAAATGCTTCAGTAGAAAGGAACTAAAATGTGACAGAACTACTTTGTTTGGTGAGTTGACTGCAGCAAACTGAACAAATGTATAGCTGTGCAACCTCTAAACAGGATCTGGAGTTTGAGTCTTTGACTTTCTGTGCTTGGGCAGCTTGTGATTTAATGAGACACTAAAAGTGGGATGATGGAAAATGAAAATAATTTCACTTCCTTAAGACATTTCATTTGTTTTGAAAAGTTCTGGAACTCCATTTTTGCCTGGTACCTGCTAGTCTTTTTCCTTAGTGCTGGAAGGAAATGAATTTCCAAGCTTTGCAGAAAGAAAAGTTGCCTATGACTAAAAGTCATGGGCCATTTCCACCCCTGCCCCCCCTCATAATAGACGTAATTAGGTGATTGCTCAAATTGTATTTGCTGATACGTCTTTAATATGCCTCTCTTTTTCTCCTCTTCAATTAGTTACTTGATTATGTGACGACAACATTACTATTTTCTGACAGAAACGTTGACAGCAACCTGATATCGTGGAACAGAGTTGTTTTGCTGCATGGTAAAATTTATCTTCCTTAAACCAAGTAGATTCATTGGCCATGTGTTTATGCTTTCTATCTGGAAAAACTTCTATTGCACTTCACTGCAGTGAAATTAGATGATCCAAAAGCAGCAGAGAAGTATGCTCTCTATAATACAAATAAAGAAGTGTAATGTCAGAATCAAATCAGTGTTCACATGTAGTATGTTTTGCAGGAATTTAAATTCTAAAATTTATAATGCAGTGACAGTAGTTGGTTTTTTTTTAATTTTCATTTTTATGTTATATTATTGCTTTTTCTTGCATCAAGTGCAAAAATAATGCAGCTACTGAGGACAATAGAAGCTATATGTTACTTACAGTTCTATCACATTATTAAGAAATTTGTTGGTTATGGCTTTATAAAAACTTTGAGGAAACTGGTAAATCAGTTTGTGTGCTGTGTTGTTAGCCTTATGTATTCTGTTGCCAAGTATGAAGACAGTACTCGCTAATTTAGTTATTAGTATTTCAGTGAAGTCATGATCTTCAGTCAGTCTTGGCTTACTGTGGTGATTATACCAAATATGAGATTAGCATCAACCAAATCTATTTTCTTGCAAAATGCAGCTCCTCATTGATTAATTACGTTTGTCATCAAGACTGATATTCAAAAATAAAAAGTCGTAGTGGAAATGTTTGCTATGAATGTTGTTTGTACTTAAGTTATAACTATTTCTCAGTTTAAAAGCTGCAGGATGTTTTTGTTGGGAAAATTATTTATTTCAAACTGTTAACAATATACCTGTGATAGATATATTTAATTTTAGTAGTGAGCTCATTGTGATCACAAGGAAGTTAATACTGGGAAATCTACAACTGTTGTAGTGCAAAATACATTTATGCTATAGTGGTAGTACTGGCTTTGAACGGAAGTACTGTCATCTGATTGATGTTACCAGTTTGATTAGCACCAACACATCAACTTCTATACATTCAAACACTTTTAACTATGCCTATTCTTGTTTGTCTGGAGCAAGTCTGTCTGGCCCTTCCATAGGGTATCAAGCCAGATCCAAAAAGTTTGTCCCAGAGTGTACTTCCTAAGATGCTCTGGGTTGCCCCAAGGTAGAGTTTTCTGGGAAAGTGGACAGCTGATCAAACGGCTTGATGTCTTTCTGCTTTGCATGTTAGAATAGTATGTTTCAGGAAGGTATAAGTTTAGGCATAGCACTGACTTTTGAGAATGCTAATTTGTGTAAGCCCTGCTAGGGTGATACAATACTTCTGTGGCCATCGAGTATTTTAACTTTATGGTGTCTTCATACAAACTATTACACTAACTGTACCAATAATTGAGAATTATGAAAATTCAAAGCTCAGCTCTAGAACTGTAGTGGAGTAAATAACCTTCTCAAAATACCCTGGTGTTCACAATTGTTGTCTGCTGTGTTTTTACTTTACGATAAGTGCTGTAATGAAATTTAATAGTTAACAAGATGTTACAATCCGATGCAGATTCTGTGTAATGTATGAATTTTATTTCAAAACAGGTCCTCCTGGAACTGGTAAAACCTCTCTCTGTAAAGCATTGGCTCAGAAGCTGACAATTCGACTGTCGTACAGGTGATAATTTTTTTTAAAGTTTCACTTTAGTTTACTATTGCTAATTGTTCTTTTTCAGTAGCCCAAAGATATTTAATATTTGATTTCAAGTAACTGGTTCCAAGTGGTAATGTTCATAGTTCTTCTTTATTCTTTCATAGTTCTTTTTATGGCAACTGGGTAGCAATAAAATTGATCTGATAGAGAGACTGGTTAGGATATTTTAATGCCTTTTAAAATGTGTGATTGTTTGTGCCCAGGTATGTAAAACAAATTTCAGTGGTGATGCACGGTGTGAGCACAAACAAATGACTACATCAATGAATATTAAAGGGCAAAGGATCACGGAGTTTCGAGCCTGCTATTTGTATATTCATGTTGAAGAAAGCCTGTTTTTAGTAGGCAGTGATTTTGTAGCCTGTTTGTTTTGTACTTGGATTGTTTGAATGCCACAGTTTGCAGACCTCAGTCTGTATATCAGACAAGTATTAAGAGTTAAACTTACTTGCAAATTAGCAAAATTATATTTTAAAAAAAGTTATATAAAAAACTAAGTGTAACATAATGTGTAATTATTGGAACAATCTGACTCTAGCCCAAGTTGAATTTATTATAAACATGGGCTATATAATGTGTGGTTGAAATATTTTGTCCTAAGGCTATCCATGCAGAGCTAAGTAAATAACCTTCATGCTTTTATGTATGTTCACAGAATCACAGAACATTAGGGATTGGAAGGGACCTCAAAAGATCATCTAGTCCAATCCCCCTGCCGGAGCAGGAACACCTAGATGAGGTTACACAGGAAGGCGTCCAGGCGGGGTTTGAATGTCTCCAGAGAAGGAGACTCCACAACCTCTCTGGGCAGCCTGTTCTTGCTGTACTGAATAAAATCTTAAAGAGAAGAATGAGGTCCTTAGCATGATAAGTTACTAAAACTATATTTAAATAGCACCTATTCTAATAAAGGAGTTCTCATAACAATTTAATATAAAGAATTCTAATAAGACATGTTTTCGAAATGACAGTTAAACTCAAAACAGTTACTAAAACTATATTTAAATAGCACCTATTCTAATAAAGGAGTTATAACAATTTAATATAAAGAATTCTAATAAGGCATGTTTTCGGAAATGACAGTTAAACTCAAAACAGGTATTATGTTTTGAAAAGTAAGTAATTTAAAGTACTAATTCACTGAATTCCAGTGAATTCCAGTTGAAATGGAGGGAATGCGACTTACAGAAGTTAATGATATCACTGACTTTTATTTACAGTAGAGTTGATACCTCTTTTTCCTTCATACTGTAGGTATAGGTATGGACAGCTAATTGAGATAAACAGCCATAGCCTTTTCTCTAAATGGTTTTCTGAGGTATGTGTTGATGTAGCTAATTAAGTACACTGTGTTTTAGAAATTACACTGTTTCTGTTGAGCTTATTTCATAAAAAAGTTTGTGCACCAAAGATTATTCAGAATAATTAATGTAGTTGAGAACATTTAAACCAAAGATATATTAGAAAGTTATTTTAAGAAAACAGGTATTTCCATCTTTAAATATGGTAAGGATTGTAAAGGTGTGGTAAGGAAATAGTTAAACATACACATATGGTGTCTTTCTAGAGTGGCAAGCTAGTAACCAAGATGTTCCAGAAGATTCAAGAGTTAATTGATGACAAAGATGCTCTTGTGTTTGTCCTGATTGATGAGGTATGATTATAATAGCATTGACGTACATAAAATTTAGCAGAAAGTGAATCGATGAGAATGAACTGTGATAATGCTCAATGATAAAGAACAATAAAAGTATATTTATAGTTTTTTTGGTAAGTTACATAAATTTGTGCAGAAGAGTGAATTTTAATCTTCGCTGCTACAGATTTGAGAGTATTGGGAGGAACACAGTATGATTCAGCAGGCAAATTTCAGCTGAAAATGAAGCGAAACCTTTCTTGGTGGAATTTCCCTTCCTGCTGTGTGATTACAAGTGGAGTATTGTTTTAAACTTCAAAGTAGCCTAGATTTGTATTAACTGTGTTCTTATGTATGTTGTAAAGCTCTAAAAAGCATTATTATGGTTCAGTTCATTGTCTAGATTCTCTTCAGACTTGCATACATAAGCAACTTAGTAAGTGTTTACCTTATTATCATTGTTATATTAGCTTTCCTATGGAGAAGCTCATTCTAAATTAAATGTATTTGTTATTCTGGTGTGTGTGTTCCCCTGCCCTGCCCCTGAAATTTAATTAAAATGAAAACCAGCCTTCATTCTACTGTCTAAACAGGAACTACACTTTCCTTCCTTGACATTCCTTTCACTCTCCCTGTGAATTCCTACTTAACAAAAGATTTTGAAGTTGAAGCTTTGGATACTAGTCAGAAGGATCTGCAAATGTATTCTCTGGGTTATTTGCTTGCTGCCAGCATTCCAAATGTGCAATCTTTGTGGGGTTTTTTTGGTCTTTGGTGATTTTTTTTTTTTTTTACCTTGGTCATTTTTCTTTTCATGTAGGTAGAAAGCCTCACAGCAGCCCGCAGTGCCTTCAAGGCAGGCACAGAGCCTTCAGATGCTATTCGTGTGGTGAATGCTGTACTGACACAAATAGATCAGATTAAAAGGTAAACTCATGTTATTGCAACAGCAAAAGGGTAGTTGACAATTTCAGAATTCCTGTTAAATCTTAATTTCTAGTTGGAATGCTAAACCAAATTGGATAGTGAACTATTCTTTGTTAATTATTATAATTGTGAAAAGAAATCCGACACTGTTTTGCATGTAACTGAATGAACACACAAATCTACAGATGGTAGATTTAAATCTAGGGAGAGATACAGAACAGATGGTCACGATATCTGCTTTGGAGAGACAAGAATAAGATCAATGAAGATTCATTCATTATTTACAGCTTCTGCATGTCAATTTAAAGCAAACTTGCACAACACATCACAGAATCACAGAATATTAGGAG